ACTGCATTGGGTATGGACCACGACAGCAAGAGAACGAATAAGGATGATCCCAAGATCAAGGCAAAGAAACTGAGTGATTGATGGAGACTTTAACTGGTAAGAAGACTCTACAGGTGGTAGATTTTCTCAGAAAGGGAAACAGACCAAGAGTATTACAATGTATTCATTATTTTTTGGAGTTCTTCGTGATTGTTAAATGTAAGTGCTTCCATGAATTTGTTATCCTTCCTAAAGTTAATGATTATAAGTCATATAGGATTATTAATGATTCAACATCATTTTTTACATTTAGGACATTTTATATGAATTTCATAGATCTCACTATACTTAGCCACCTAGAAGCAAATTATAGGATTTTAATTATATACCTCTTTGGAGATTCAATATATTATTTCAAAATTATTTTCACAAAACATAAAGAAAAAACACTAAGCTACTAATATACAAGGCTTTCTAGTACAAAACTGTTGTTTATATTATGATTATATTTTTTTCCAAATAATATTTATTATTTTAAAACTGATAAGACAATCTATCCCTGAGTTTTAAATAAAATCTATATGGAAACTCTCTAATGAAAAATACAGCTGCAAGCCCATGAGATGCATGATAGCATTGCCAAAACAAGGCATGCTATTTTGCTTATTAAAATGTGTCTGCTGTTAAAGTCTCCAGGCACATAGACTACCCAGAATCATTAATAAATCAAAAGAAAGGCAAAGTCATATTCCTTTCCCTCCCTATCCCCATGCCATTCTAGAAAGTCCAGCAAATATGCATTTTTGTTTTTTCCATTTCCATAAGGTCTTTTGTTCACCAGAAATTTATGTTAATTGCTAGGGAAAGGGTAAACCCATAAGCATCAGGAAAACAATTCATGATTTAATAAAAAGACCAAATTCAGCAGTAGCCACTTTAATCAGGATAGATACATTACTGTAAATTCTTGGAATTATAAGTACGTTTTGTTAGAGGATTATATAAAAAGGAATACAATCAGAAAGGATATAGTGTTAACTAGGGAAATACAGATCTAGAAAGTTACAAGTTAAAATTTAACTCTTGGAAGCTTTTTGAATCAGAAACAGAAAATGCTTATTTGCAGTTGTGAGGAATAAGTGAATTTAGTGTTCATCAAAATTTCTCTTCTATTACATGTGTTGTTTTTAATTTCCAATGTGTTCTTGCATAGGTAAGCTCTCTTCACTCCAAATAAATGTGTTCTCTTCCACCTTTTATATTTACTTTTTATTAAAGGGTTCCTGTTCTTAGCAACTTGATAATTCAGTGAATCTAAGAAGTCTATCTGATCAGCTGTCTAGATAAAGGAAATAATTCCTTTATCTGTATAGATAAAGGAAATAATTCCTAAATTAAACAATTCAAAATTTTCACTTTTCAATCAGTTTTGGGCCTGCAGGGGGGTGTGCATCGCATAGACAAATATATTGGGACAATACTAGAAATAATAGCAACCTTAGAAACTCTTTAACTAAGGCCCCTGGAGGTTTATTAAATTGCTTTTGGTCAGGTAGTAGTTCAAGCCTAAAACAGAAGTTTACTGCTGGTGCTAGTGCCTTACGTGTTCAAAGAAACATCCTACAGAGCTGGGACTCAGACTTCTGTAAGGGGAACTTCAGCCATCTGGCGCTGATAATTCTGAGCCGCATGATGAAGCTACTTCTTGAAATAGAGAAAAAATTGGAAACTGGTACCAACTGCTGTTACTCAAACCAAATGCTGAGATGAAGAGCAAATTATTAGAGCAAGAAATCAGGAAGATGGGTGTCCCTTCTTCACGCCCTTTAGTCCCTCCGATTGGCAGAACCTAGCAGGGAGTCAGCGGGCAAAGGAAAAGGATGGCTTGCAGAATCCCAGCCATAGCAATCATAAAGAAAAGAACAGAGGATGGGGCTGGAGCTTACAGTGCTTAATAACTGGCACATTCAAAGAGGGATTCGACTTCCCAGATGACATTGCAGTTGGGACCAAAATAATGTATCTGTTAAAAATGTAAAAGAGGAGTATGACTGTGGGCATGCAAGCTGCAGTGTCTGCGGTAACCACTTCTGAATCTAGAGATCAATGCAGTTTAGTCATGGAGCTGAGACACATACAATTTTTTGACTCAAGAGCCAAAAGTGATTAAAGAGGAATTTCTTTCTATGACCTCTTGGATGACATTAAAGTGACTGCAAATAAAAAGGCTTTAGAAACACCCATTAAAGTACCCTTTGTTTCCATTCCACTTTCCTGTCAGGTTTCTTTCTCATGCATGCTCCCTCCCCACCCAAAAAGAAAAAAAAAAAATCTAACTCTACTCTCAGTCCATGATGCTTTCGTTCCTTCTCTTTCCCACCCCTTATATCATTTTGCATCAACTATTCTGATTATTATTCATTAACATCTATTCCTGCAATACATTGTTATTTCTCACTCTGATCAACTGATGTATGAATGACCCCAGTTCCCCACTCTTCTCCGTGAATATGCTCTTTGGCATGAAACTTTATAGCCCTCCACTAACCTCACCCTAAGCTCGGCTATGTTATTTGGTTTAGCCACTGAAATTTTGGAAACTGGTACGTAAGTAGAGGATTGGAAAATAGTTTGATCAACTGAGTTTTTTCCCATTCTTGCTCTTTGACAGCACTATAAAAATACATCCAGGCTAGCCTGCTGGAGAATGGGAGATTCTCAATTCAGATATAGCTACTGTCCTAGCTGGCAGCTGGTATACACCAGACCTGTACATCAGCCTATTCAAGATCAGAAGAATACCCGACCAAGCCTAGCCTAAATATCTGACCATAAATTTGTTACCTAAATGAATTCTTACTATGATACTTTCCTAAGATTTGAGATGGCTTGTTATACAACAGGCAACTGATATGTTTACTTTTCAAAAGGAGCAAAATAGAAATGATTATTACAATGTTCTCTTTGGTAGGTTGAGGAAAGAAGAAATTCAGTCAACATTTATACATTAATAATTGATTCTGTCATATTTCAGTCAGATTAAAGCAAACAGCCAAAAACCATGACAAGATCCAGGGTAAGAGACTGATGATAGGTCACCTGTTTACAAGAAAAATAAGATTACTAGCCATATTATAGTTGATTCAGAATAACTTCATTTTTAAAACCCTAAAATTTTAGAGTCAGGCTCGAGTGTAATTTCCTTAAAAATTTCTAAACCATATAGAAAATCATGAAGAAACCATAATATTTCTTTGTTTGAGTTTCCATTTTAGAAGTTAGGTCTTATTTTAAAAATATTTTCTAGCCTGTTTAGGCTCTTATTTAAAACTATCTACTTTTCTCAAAGTCTTTCTCATACTTCGGATATCCAAAATATTGCATGAGTTATGTAAACAATACAAAATTAACTATAGAATTATATTTGTACATTGATTCAGTCAGTTTCTAAGAAGAACTTTGAACAACTAAAAATATGAGCTACTACATTCTCTCTGAAATCTTTTTTTGTTATTCTTTTTGGAGGGGTGGAATGAGTCATTCTGAGCAAAAAGAAAAAAATAATAATCAGACACTTTCCACTCCTAACTTAAGGGAGTTGGAGATATCAGCAGATCCAAATTACCAGGAATGGGAAGATATAGAAAGATGTGGGTACCCACCAAGGAGCTCACCGTCCCAGTGCTCTATATAGCCTCACTTCTATGGCCAAAAGTATTAAAAAGAAGGAAAACAAAAGACTAATTCAGGCTTACTATTTAAAAATACAGTGATTCTGGCCCAACACGGTGGCTCGTGCCTACCTTCCCAGCACTTTGGGAGGCTGAGGCAGGTGGATCACTTGAGGCCAGGAGTTTGAGACCAGCCTGGCCAACATGGTGAAACCCTGTCTCTACTAAAAATACAAAAAATACCTGGCATGGTGGTATGCGCCTGCAATTCCAGCTACTCAGGAGGCTGAAGTAAGAGAATCGCTTGAACCCAGGAGGTGGAGGTTGCAGTGAGTCGAGTGTCCCTCTGCCCTCCACCCTGGGCGACACAGTGAGACCCTGTCTCAAAAAATAAATAAAAACTAAATAAAAATACAGTGATTCTGAGAGGCCTTCCCTTTCCACACTACCTCCTACTTTTTTAATAGTTGTCATCCCATTTTCCTCACCTGCCAATGTGGTCAGGACTTCCACAGTGCATTAAACATCTTTGAATCCGAGAAATTTCACTGAAGCAATGAGCGTAGAAGTTATTAGCATGAACTGAAGACTAAATGGTGCTGGTACACAAATAGGGAGACACATCAATATAACAGACTCGTGAATCTAGAAGTAGCTTCCAGAATGTAAGGAAAAGTAGATGTGACAAAGGTTGCATTTCGAATCAGTGAGCAAAGTATTGAACAGACTTGAGACAACCATGTAGTTATGAGGAAAAGATTTAAAGTTGGATGCATACTTCAAAACTCTCCTCAGGTATATCAAGATTTTAAGTGTGAGAAAATAAAACAAAAAAGATAGGGAAGAAAGTAGGTAAGCATTTTATTTTATTTTATTTTATTTTAACTTTAAACAAATTTTTATTACACAAAGGTTGTCACATAATTGGATATTTCTCTACTTCATACACAATTATTCTCACTCTCCACAGAAAGGCTGCCTAAATTCTCATCTGGCGGTGGCAAGCACTAAAATCCTGATTTTAACAGAATAGTAGTAAAAATGCCTCAGTGATTCAAGTTGAAAGCAGTACATTGGTACATGGCTCTTGTACCCAGTATCAGGAATGTACAAATGTCTCTTTATTCAAAAATGCCAAATAAATTATCTGTAGGCATGGACAATGACAGCAATAAACCATTATGTATTTTGTTAACTGAAACCAGTAACTGATGGTTATAGTGATGTCTTAAACATCAGCCAGCCTTTTCTTCATTTTCTCCAACTGAATTCTCTGAAGTTATTCGTGAGGAACACTGCCTTGGGCTTCCTGTCACAGTTCAAAATAAAAGTAAAGCACTATTCTAGGAGTTAGAACATGCCACCTCCCATACCACCTCCCATTCCACTCATTGCACCCATTCCAGGGTCCTTCTCTTCTTTAGGAATTTCTGTGACAACAACTTCTGCTGTAGTTAACAGAGAGGCCACACCAGCAGAATCCAATAAAGCAGTTCTCACAATCTTTGTTGGGTCAATAATTCCTTTCTCCAATATATTTACAAAATCTCCAGCCATAGCATCATAACCAACTTCTGAGGAACTTTGCATAATTTTCTCAACTATCAAAGATCCTTCAACACCTGCATTCTTAGCAATGGTCATTGCTGGAATTTTGAGTGTTCTTTTAATAATTTCTATACCAATTTTTTGATCTTCATTAGCTGGAGTCAATGAGTCTAAGGCTGGAATGCACCGAAGCAGGGCACAACCCCCTCCCAAAACAATGCCTTCTTCAACAGCAGCTCTTGCAGCATTAAGGGCATCTGTAACTCTGTCTTTCTTTTCATTCACTTCAACATCACTTGTCCCACCAACCTTCAGCACAGCTACTGCATCTGAAAGTTTTGCCAGCCGTTCATTCAGCTTTTTCTTTTTCATATTCACTAGTTGTGACATCTAGCTGCTCAATGATTTCTTGAATACATTTTTCAATTTGAGCCTTATCACCTTTTCCTTTTAAGAGCATGGTATCATCTTTTGTCACAATGACCTCTCCAACTTTTCCTAAGTCATGAGGCTGAACGTCTTAAAGATTTAGGGTCAATCCCTCTTCTCCAAACACTGCATCAGCAGTAGCAATAGCCATGTCTTTAAGTTGGTTCTTTCTATTGTCACCAAACCCTGGAGGTTTGACTCCCACAACCTGAAGTCCAACCTTTAGCCTATTCGAGAGAAGTGTACTTAGAGCTTCTCCAACAACGTCTTCAGCGATTACGACCAAAGGCTTACGGTGAGCACTGGCAATTTCAAGAGCAGGTACAATGGACTGGACACTAGAAATTTTCTTTTCAGTCAACAGAACATAGGCAGCCTGGAATTCACATTTCTGACCTTTTGATGTATTAATAAAGTATGGAGAAATATAGCCTCGATCAAACTTCATGACTTCAATAATTTCTAATTCATCATTCAGTGTTTTTCCATTCTTTACTGTGATGACACCCTTTCTTCCAACCTTTTTCATTGCATCAGAGATGATATTCCCAATGTCTTTGTCTCCATTTGCAGCAATTGTAGCAACCTGTGCAATTTCTTCAGGGGTGGTCACAGGTTTAGACCGCTTTTTAAGTTCGGCGATTACAGCATCAACAGCTAACATCACACCTCTCCTGATTTCCACTGGATTAGCACCTTTGCTAATCTTCTCGAAGCCTTCCTTGGCAATAGAGCGTGCCAGTACAGTAGCCGTGGTAGTGCCATCCCCAGCCTCTTCATTTGTGTTATTGGCAGCATCTTGAACAAGTTTGGTTCCAATATTTTTATATTTATCCTTTAAGTCAATTGACTTTGCAACAGTCACACCGTCTTTTGTTACTTTGGGGCTTCCCCAGCTTTGCTCAATAACCGCTGTTCTTCCCTTTGGCCCCATTGTAACAGCTACGGCATCGGCTAAAAGGTCTACACCTTGCAGCCTTAAGGATCGGCATCTGCTCCAAATTGTACATCTTTGGCGTAAGCCCGAGTGAGATAAGGAGTCAGGACCCTGGACACCGGTCTCATCTGGCGAAAGACTGTGTGGGTAACGGAAGCGTTTTTGCGGGGCGGCGGCAGGGCGTGCGCGCGGAAAAGCAGGGCCTCTGGTGGCGAGTGAGGGACAGAATGCTGGGCGCACAGGGCAATGAGCCCGCGTGCCCTCCCTCCCCCTCTCCCCCCGCCCCGCCAGTAAACATTTTACAATATCGTCTCAGATCTTCCAAGTTTGATATATAAATAAATAATAATAAACCAAAATAAATAATTTTTATTAGAAAAGTATTTGTCATAAGACAAATGAAAATGTGAGAAAAATAATTTGCAATACACATCATAGTCAAAAGGCCAATACTCCCAATATGTAAAGACTTCTTACAAACCAAAAGAAAAATAAATAATAATATATAGTATGCTTTCATTTGTGCAAAAAAAGAATATAATGTATGTGGAATATATCTGGAAATATATATAAGACACTACTGACATTATCTAGCCTATGGATGGGAAATGGGTGATCAGGGTTCAGAAATCAAAAAGGGCTTTCTCACTCTATAACCCATTGCACCTTTAAATTATGAATTCCACTAATGCATTATCTATTTGTTAACAAATAATAATTGAATTAAACAATTTTATTTGTAATCACTATATAAAAATATATTTTACATACTTATTTACAAACTGGTAATGTTATGTTTTAATCAGGATCCCTGATGCTTTCTACCAGACAAACCCCAAAATCTCAAAGCTTAACAGACACAGGGTTTATTTCTCACTCAGTAGAGACTGATATGTGTTGGATGGCCCTAATCCGTGTAATATCCAGCCATCCGGAACACGTGACCTTTAAGACTGATTGCATTAAAGGAGGCTCACCCATTCTAGACTATCTCAGCCCGGACCTGACACAAGTCACTTCTGCTAACAGTCCATTGGCTGGAACCACTAACATGGCTCTCACCTGACAAGAGCAAGGAAGGAGGTGACAGGAAGAATGTGTATAGCATGACTTGCATTTTTCACACTGCAGCAAATTTATTTTCAAATAAAGTTTTCTGTAATATAAAGCCTCATATATGGTGTAAACTCTTTTGTGTGCTTTTGTTTCCACGTTGTTAAAAAAAGGATATTAAATATTCCCAATGAAGAATTACATAAAGAGACCCATGGGATGTCATAGAATATCTAGGATATATCTTATCCTAAATGTAGAATTAGTAAGTTTAACCTTACATAGAAATATGAGTAAATATGCCATTGGCCAATCCAAATTTAAATATGCCTTGAAATATTTAAGTCATTTTTTAGCTGTTCCAGGTACAATTGAACAATCGTAGTCTACACAGTGATTAACTAAACAGTCTTTGGAGACAGATGAGCTCATATTATCCATTTTGTCTGCATCCTTCAGCCAAGTGTTTTACATGTACAGCCAATGCAGGCCACTAAGCATGTTCTGTAGCCACAAATTACATCAAAAGGGAAAGCCAGTGCAATGTTCTGCTGACTATTTTTATCCTGGAAAGAACTGTTTGTATTCACGCTTAATTTTTGTCTCTTAGCTCTATTCCAAGTCCATTTTTGTCATACTATATTTTTTCACGTTCCAGCAAGAGAAACGAGGTCTGCTTCTTAAAAGTAAAAAGCCATAAAATATGTTACTAGATGGCTTCTACATTGTTCATTTAAGTACCGCATGATGAAATATAGACATGATTTGGCAGCATAATTTAGTTTCTCATCATTCTATGTATTTATTTATGAGAAGGATTTCTATACCAATTCTGAATAATGCCAGCTGTCACGAGAAAGACTTGGAGACAAGATGGAAATTTTGGTGACTGGGAGATTACTCACCAGGAGAAGACTTTGACCAGCATTTCATTATATTTCATTTTGTTGAGGAACACATTGATCAACATTTCAGCAGAGAAACCAAAGCAAGTGAAGTTTATCATAATATGGCATTTTAATGAGCCATGAAACCAAATGCAAGAGCAACATGCAGATTGGGCGTTTTGTCTCTTACAGCATATGCTATTTTTGTTTACCTTTAGTAAAAACACCACAGGGTCAGAATGCGGCTGTGGCAAGTAAAATGTTGAGTTATGAGCACACCCTACTGGTTTGGTGTGAAATGACTATAAAAGGTTTCATAGGTATTTTAAGGGGTGTGTGTGTGTGTGTGTGTGTGTGTGTGTGTGTGTGTCTGTTTTATTATGGACATAATGAAACATACAGTATTCTGCAGTTTTAATATCATAAACCAAAGAAAAGTAATATGCATATTGGATAGATGATAGATACATAGACATATTTAAACAGAATTAAATCCTTTCTAAAGCTTATGAATGCCTTGATACACCTTTTTTCCCTCTTTTTCTATTTTTAAGGCTCTTTGAACTCTCTCCACTCTCGTTTAGTTTTTGAAGACTTGACATCCCAAGGAAGACTCTTTGGAAGTGAATTTCCCTGACCCTGGATCCACAGAGCCACCTGAAGGTGTCACACTGAACTTTTGCTGTTGACACATCACTTGTTTTTCCTGGTTCTCCCTCAGTTTTTGCTTTTATCAAGAAAATTTGTCAAACAGCTGGGTGATGCCAATACATGGAGCCTGCTGGAAAGTACATAGTTGTTCCACACTAGACAACCAAACGGAGTCACATACAGAGTACATTTTCTCCACCTACTCTAATCACGTTGGCCATATATGAACTGGAAAATGGCAGCGTTTTCGGCCACACATGATGAACACAATTTTATGTTTAAATACATATATTAGAGAAAGAAAAATAGGTTGACGTTAAGTGTGTGATTTATTCTCCTGTGGCTAGAAAATAAATCCATGTGCCATCTCATCACCTCGGTCTTCCTCACTGAGAGATGTTATCTAAAAAGGGGACGTTCTAGAGGATCACGATGGTGAATCAGTGAGTTTAGGGATTATTCTTTTGTTTTGCTTTCTTTTTTGACCCAGGAAGAGTGGCTAAAACCACATGACTATTTTTATATCATGACTTTAATACAACTTCATAGCAAAGCATTGAAATTTCACTATCACTGTGTTCTCTGGGTACAGGCAATATGAAGTTAGTAACTAAATTCTATAAGTAAAAGTAAAAATAAAATAAATTTTAGCATTATGTTTTTATGTAGTCCAATCCTTTCTTTTAGACATCAGAAAATCCTATGGACACCATGATAAAAAAGGAATCCCTGCCCAACTCATATCTGGCCTAAAAAAATAATTTTGTGACCAAATATAGCTCTTCTAGGATAATAAAATAGTACTGAAAAAGCTTGTGCAGGCACTAAACTTAACAAATAATTTGGCAATGTATGCCTTCCATTTGTTTTTTTGTTGTTGTTGTTTGTTTGTTTTGGCTCAAAACTAACTCTGACCCAAAGAACTTCCAATCACATTATTCATTTTTCAGTGGCAACATTCCTTAAATTGAGGATTACTCTTTCAAAAGTTTGACTCACACTATGTTTTTAACATTGAAATCTTATAGACAATTCTGTCAAAAAGGCAAGGAACATTCTATGTGTCTATGTGCTGTGTCTGTCTTGAGTTACCTCTGTGAAATGCATGATGCATCTTGCTACCAGGTTAATCTAATAAACTGCATCCCAGTCATATCAATCAAAGCTTTTAATGGCCTCCCAATTACTTACACCTGAAAAATTAAATTCTAAAGCCTTTTCCTAACTTGCAAAAGAATCTTTGGCCAACGTTTCCATCTGCATTCTCCTTTGGGGAATTCCTGTGTTCCAACCTAACTGAATTATTTTTGACTTCCTAGAATATTCCTGTTTATTTCTCTGTATAGTTGTCATGCGAGGCAAAAAATATTGCTGACCAATTCAAATTCCTTCCGAGACATACATGTAGTATTAGTGATAATGGCAATAATGATGTGAGTAGTGGCCAGCACTAGGGAGGGCTCATTGTCTGCGAAGCATTGAAATAACCAGTTTCTTCATGCTTAAAAGAAAAAAAGACATAATTCTTTTATTCCTCTTGATAATCCTAGGTGGTAGATCCTGTTATGAGAAACTGAGATCTATACCTTACAAGTAAAAGAATGCATATGGCAAACATTTTCTTTTTCAAGAGTGATTTCACAAGTGTTGTAAACTGACTCTATCTGGATTTGTCAAGCAAAATTCTTTTATGCTGTTTTTGGTAGAAACGATAGCCACCAACAATTTTTAGCTGTTCACATTTCTGTAAGTTCAGTGAAGCCTCGTTCTTTGTCTTCTTAGAGATTCATACACCACCAAGCAGGAAACCTTGACTTTAACCAGAGCAAGAGTCCAGAAACAAAATTATGTTTACCTCAATACTAGCGAATGGAAACCTGAATTTTCTCTGGTGCTGGCTAGATACAATGAGATTTTAAAATTATAGCTAGAATAGAAGGCCTTAGAATGTGATCCCTGAGGCTTTCTTGAGGAATCTGCAGGGTCAAAACTATGCTGTAATAATATTGAGATGCTATTTGCTTTCTTTCAGTGTTTCAACATTTGCACTGATGATGTAAAAGCTGTGTGGAGTAAAACTGTTGGAGACTTAGCACAAATCAAGACAGCATTGAATTGTGCTAGAAATCCTGTGTTCTTGACGGCCATAGCATTCATGGGGTGGAGGAGGTGGAAGGGTTGGTTTTACTTAAGCATGTTCTTGAGAAAACAATGAAATGGATTCATTTGATTAAATCTAGACCCTTGAGTACATGTCTTTTAATATTCTAAGTGAAAACTGGAACGTTTATATAAAGCCCTTATGCTTCACGCTCAAGTACAATGGCTGTCTCAAGAAAAAGCACATATGTAATTCAGCTATAGCTGAACTGAATATTTTCATCACGGAATATTTAACTGAAAGAACTAAAAGGCAAAGTATGATTACTCAATCTTGAGTACTTGGTAGACATTTTTTCAAAAATGAAGTAAGCCTGTTGCATCAAAGATAATAACCAACAGCATTTGCTCCCAGTGATAAAATTTGAGCTTTCAAGAAATTGAAAACTTTGTCTTCTTCACCATACTGATAGTATACCAATATTTAACTATTTTTCTGATGAGATCAGTGTAA